GGTGAGAATTACAGGGAAGAGATGAAGCATTTTTACAAAAAGCTTCCTTACTGTGCTGCTGAAGACAACACACTTCCGATGCACAAACAGACTCCAAGTTGAATGGACTTCTAGCCTCTATGTGCTTATCGTTCCAAGACGTAAGAGGAACACAGAAAAAAAAATGCTCATATGCAAAACAGAATTTCTGTGTAGGCTTTCCCTTCACTCTAGAAAGACCTGTAAAGTTCAGAGCAATTTCAAGACCTTAGCCACACTGAGTTTTGAGATGAGACAGTATGGAGGAAATCATGCTGCAAGCTATTCCATTGTGGTGGAATCTCCTGGCATCCTGTATTACTGTGAGACTACACAAAAAGCCACAGCCAGGCAGGCATACAGAAAGTGCCATTTTTTTTTTATGGTCAGTTTAAAAAATGACTTTTTATTAAAAATAAGAAGGTAATTATTACAAGTTATAAAAATATACCTCAACTAAGGACAGGAGCTATCCAGGCTTTGCTTTGAAAATGTTCAGAGCAACATTGATGACTGATCTCCTTTCACAAGCGCACTGCTTCCTGTTTTGCCCTGTTTCTAGCCAACCAAGGGGCACAGCTGTGGCTTCTCTCTATGGACACTCTTCTCCCCAGGGCTTTTGGATGCTTCACCAGTGTGAGGAGAGTAATACTGTCAACTTACTCATATCAGCTTCATTTCTATTGGGTTTTTGATTCTTAACTGAAATTCTTTCTCACCTCATTTCCCAACTGACCACAGGTTCTATAGCCCTCAGAGAGTGGGGTCCTGTAAGACACAGAGCAGGACCTCCCCAAGAGAAACACTTTCCTCCTCTGTCTGTGGTTTTCCTAAGTCTATGCAGATGCGCTCATTTTTACAGTCTGCAATGGCAAGTCTGTCCACTTCTACCCTTCATACTGTGGGCCTTCCTGCCTTCCCGTAAACCTACCTGTTTAATGACCATACAGTGCTTTGGGCCACAGAGAGTATCTGCAGTGTAACCAATAGTGCTGTACTGGTGGCTGCATCATATAGTGGTGTGGACACTAGGTCCAGGCTAGTCCTCCAAGGTTTGAAACCTACTAGCTAAGGTTTGCAGGCCAGTTGATGCCTCTGCTTTCATAATCTGTGGAATGGGGGTAAGAGTACCTTCTTTCAGGGGTTGTTCCAATTAACACTGTGCTCACAAAAGTTTGTTCAGTTTCATCTACTGACTGCTGTTAGGACTGTGACAACAGGGACATTCAGGCTTTCTAAGTTACTGCTTTTCTCACTTCTGAATTAAGGTGATTTCTCAGGAGACTTGTGGTTCAGAAGTTGCGAACGTTTGTGTGGACTGCCTGCTGTCACAGGATTTGATTAGGAGAGATTTAATGAGCTTCTAGAATGAAGACGTGTTCAAGCTGGGGTCAGGGTAAATTTCCTGGCAAATGTCTCTCAGAAGGCTGTTAGAGTCATGCCCACACATTCTACCTGAGGTACTCGGGCTTTGACAGTTTGTCCAGTTGTTGTTCTTTAGAGGCAGATTTTGGTAAAGCTTTGGCTTGCAGGGGTAATGTGGGCTGCGCTCAGTGGGAAGAGCAGCCCTGGAGACCAACTTGTCCCAAGCGGGATTTGGCACCGAGCACACGTGGAAGGAAACACAGCTGTGTGTGTGGCTGTCGCATTCATCTGTGTGTGCCGTGCGTGGAGCTGAGTCTCCCCTTCCACCATGTGGGTTCTGGGGATCGAACTCAGGTCTTCAGGACTGATGATAGGTACCTTTACCTTCTGAGCCATCTCACCACCACCTTCTGTTACTTCTGAAAACTGACTTCTCCTCACAAGAGGGACTGTGTTTGCACTTGGGTGTGAAGGCAGCTGTAGTGTGGATACTCGGTGTCTCCCTGACGCCTGTGTGTTGAAGGCTCAGCTTCCGGTGCAGCTGTGTTCTCAGGCGGACTTTCAGGGAAGTGACCGGGCAATGAGGGGGCTGACTTTATCAACGGACTGATCTGATGGCATCGCTGGGACTCGGTAGAGAGGAAGAGGTGGGAGTGTGCCTGGGGAAAGTATATCTTGTCCTCAAGCCATTCCCGTCTCTCCCCCCTAGTTCCTCCACTACAGGGCGAACATGCCTCTGCACCATCATAACTCTGTCTTTCCACAGGTTAAACCAAAGAATTGAAACCTCTCCAACTGTGAGTGCAAACAAAACCTCCCTCCTCTACAGTGTCTCTCACAGGTCACGGCAAAGCCAGGGCTCCCGGGGAAGCCCTTGCTCTAGGGCCATTCACAATCCCCCCAGCATGGCAGCAATGCCTCCTAAGAGCAACCCCAAGATGAGCGCTCAAATCCGTGCTCCTACAGCACTAGCAGAGAAGGCACTTCGGTAGGGAAGATCATGCAATTCTAATACCACCATGTTCTTGTGGCGGTGGGAGGGAGAGGCAGCACCTCCACAGGAGTGATGACACCACTTTGATGCTACCAGAGCACCCCACGCACGGCAAGGTATGCTTACCCTGTGCTACCCTACCTACTGGGGCTAGTTCTAGAACACATCACAGTTACCCAAGGCACACTGCTCAAGTCCCTCCTACGGAACCGGGTCTTCACAGAGCCTTCATGTGCCCTGCTGCATACAGCTCTGGATTACTTAACTCCTATGACGATGATTTTTTTTAAATGCCTTATGAACAGTGACACTATGTTGTTTTGGGACCATGATGATGTTCGGCACATGTGAAATGTTTCCCTGGAAACATTTTCCATCTGTGGTTAGTTAAACTGATACATGTAGGGTCTGTGGATATGGAAGACACAGTGCATTTAGTCCTAAGCTGTCAATGTACATCTAAGAAAAATGCATATTTAAATAGGCAATAAGACCCTTTGAAAAGCTCCCTCACATTTATCCCTCTGTCTCCTGGTACTAGACAATGCCCTAGTGATAATCACTGCCTTGAGAGCTATGAAGTATGGGTAAAGATTGGTTTTAAGTCTCACTGGGCACAGATCCAAGCTGAGTCAGAGGACACAGGAGGAGATGTAGAACAGGCTGGCCACTGGCTGCACCCAGTACAGTGACACACACAGTTCACAATGACCTGACATGACTCTGCTTCGAGAGATACGGCCAAGTGATGCCAGCACAATGGAAAAAACGGTGTATGCTTGAATGGACACGCACTGGCCCCTCCTAGTCACACAAAATGCAGCATCAGCAAAGACGCTGTTGCAGGATATTTCTCACTCTGTGAACCCCAAGACTGTGTTGTTTCCTGGGAAAACCTGCTTCTAGTTGTGGTGTGGCTCAGCCCTAGCACACACCTTTAATCAAAGAGCTTTGTGTTTGAATTAAATAAAATCAACCATAGGTCAAGAGCCAAAGCAAGCAACCAGTTGCCAGGGAATGAACACAGAAAAACAAAACAAACCAAACAAACAAAAAACAAAGAGAGTGATAGGAAGTCAGGAGGATAGAGAGAAGCACAGGAAGTAGAAGGGAGGGACATTCCTGTTTGAGGGGTGTGTTGAGATAGCATGGAGAGGGTGAGCTTTTTTCCTTTTGAGGCATTGGCTGAGAAGGAAGGTCAGCTGGGTGCTTTCTCTGCCTCTCTTGAGCTAGGAGGCTTTCACCCCAGCATCTGGCTTCCAAGTCTTCACTGGTAAAATGAAACAACTGTGATTCCGTTAAAAACAAGCCACTCTGCCTTAGCATACATGGACTTATTCAATGTACTGCGGAGGTCCAAGGCAATGGGTGGACATGTGTGTCCTGAAGTACAGACACTGTGGTCCTTGAGGAGGAGTGTATGGTGGCCGCAGGGTAGCAGAGGAGTTCAGAGCTGCAGGAGTTTTCCAGCTAACAGCATTAAGAATATTCTTCCCAGATCTTCCACGAAGATAATACAAATCCCCAAATTCTACTTATGTCCAGTGTTTGTGCCTAGAGCATAGTTCCTACTTTGAACATCAGCTTTACACAACTGAAAATTTCCAGCCTGTTTCAAAAGTTTCCTAAAGAGGAAAACCGCTACCACGTCATTTCTCCATAATAGGATTTTATTTACTTATTTACTTACTTACTTATTTATTTTTGAGGTAGGGATTCTCTGTGTAGCCTTGACTGCACTGGACTCGCTTTGTAGACCAAGCTGGTCTTGAAATCACAGCAATCTGCCTGCCTCTGCCTCCAAGAGTGCTGGGATTACAGATGTGCACTACTGCACCTATTCATAATAGGACTTTTATCAACCAGTATTAAACAGTGAAAGGCTTTATAAAATTCACCAAGGTTCTTTTACCCTGGGACTTCCCAAGCAAATATGACCTACTTCAAACCTGCCAGCACTCAAAACCAAGGTAAACCCAAAGAATAATTCCCCAGCATTTACGGGAAAATGGGTGGGAAAGTATGAAAGAACTTATAAACAATTTTAAGATGCTACAAGAAAGAATATAATGCCTCCTTAAAATATGTAAGTGTAGACAGAAAACACAGTGTGTTAAAAAAGAAAAGTGTTCAGTAAATAGACTATAGTAAAGGTATAATGTGATACCTCCGACTTTTTATAGAACTATGAACATGCTGTATTATATGTCATGGCCCCAGCTAGGGTAGGCACAGCTGGCACAGGGAATCCCAAGTTCACCTCAAATAAAAAGGTAGGTTGGCAGGATGATGGGTATATAACTGAGTATTCAAACATGACTGTGTGTGTATGAGAGAGAGAGAGAGAGAGAGAGAGAGAGAGAGAGAGAGAGGGGGTCTCACTATGTAGCCCTTTGGATGGCTTGAAACTTACTATCCAGTCCTGAGTGTTTTTGAACTCAGAGATCCACCTGCCTCTGCCTCAAAGGCATGCACACCCATGCCCGATTTGACCTCCTCCATTTAATCTTCTAGATGCTCCACTGTATGTGTCATAGCTCATATAATTACACTATTCACTTCATGTTCAGAACTTATCTTTGGGAGCTTTACTACCTTTTTTCAGTTTCCCTTTTATTGGGAAGGATGTTTGTGACCTGGGTACTAACTGGTTCTGCCAGTGACTCAAGCCCAGCAGATCCCTTGGAGGGCTCTAGCACACCAGGACGAAAGCCGTGTCAGGATGTGATTCTAGCTGAAGTGCATTTCTTTCCTGAACTTGGCTCCAGTGTCGTAGGCAAACTGCCAACTGTGCAAGAAAGAATCCAAGTACTCTGACAGGAACCATGCTGGAGAATTCTGCTTATGGCAGCTAAACAATGCCTCATTAAATAAGCCATCCCCTGACCGTGTTTATGAGATGTTATGTCTACCACATGACGAGCCCGCAGTATTAAACACCCAGGAAGGCTAACGTAACCTGCCCGCCCCCAATGTTCTATTCTCTGCCCAGTTTGGCTGGTAATCTCCAGTTCTCTCCAGCTGAGGAGGTCTGTCCCTGAGACGTTGGCTAGCATTCAAAGTGTGTGTAGGAAAGCGACAAGTCCAGAGAAGCTGAAAACTATTCAGATCTCTTACGGGCTCCAACATGCGCTGGGGACTTGTTTTAGGGGAAAAAGTTGACTTTGCTGCAAGGGTGTGCTTCCAAATCCCAAACTCAGCCTGGCGACAGTTCTAGCTCATTTATGTGTCAGAGGCCTCCGAGCAGCTCTGGGCACTGGACGAGCGCTACGTGACAGAACACTCAGGGACAGCTGCGGGTACGGGGTGGTGTACACGACTAAGAAAAACAAATGCCCCTGCCCACAAACAACTTTCAACCCAATCCTGAACCCAGATTAGCACACAGGGACACCATCAAGCACCTGGATTATGAAGTCGCATTACGCACTGACTGGGAACACAGAGTACGGCTCCAGGTACAACGCTGTGGGCCCTGCAGCCATGCTTGTAATATAGATGGGGCTCGTGTCTTCCTGTACTCATTTGTCCCTTGGTACGACTTGGAAGAAACTATTCTCTACCACCGCACTGTTGCCCAGGCGCCTACCCTCATGCACACGTGGTCTGGAAACCAGGGGTTTTTCCTTGACAGGGTGTGGCCAGATGTCTGTGAACCCATGGCAAAGGAGACTGTCTAAGGACACAAGCATAATAAAGCCCTTCAGAGAACAAGAAGGAACTGTTCACCCAATCTGTGACAGTCTGAGGTCCTTTCATGGAGAGAACTGGAAGATTTCATCTTAAGCTGACAGAAATGGCTCTAGGTCCTTTTCCCTTTCCAGCCCTCCGTGATGCTGCATGAAGAATGAAGCAAAAGAGGCCACAAGGAGGAGGAGATCAGTTTTTGGAAGGGATGGAAGCTGTGTGTGGGGTTGGGGTCCTGCGTATGACGAGGGCACTCAAACCGGCACCGTGCTGAACTCACATGGCAGGCTTCTGCCAGCTTCATCTGGGTGTAGTTTATGGGGAAAGAGAACTAACTCAAGAGAGTAAAGGAAGCTCTTCCACTAGGCTGAGGGCCTCAGAAGGCCACTGCCCTTCTAGGACCTAGATTTTATGTTCCAAACATGTAAACATGTGCCTACAGACAGTTCACCTTCAGCAGCAGCTTTAGAAGTGATGTGCTGTCAGATCTAATGTTACAAGATCAAGGATGGCCTGTGGCTACACACACACACACACACACACACACACACACACACACACACACACA